CTCTATTGTGACAAACCAATTTGTCGTCTAAAGAATTCATCAAGACATAATATGACAAACTATACTTTGACGAGCACATTTTGTCACTTTATGTCTCTTACAACCAGATGTGGGTTACCTATTTTGACGAACCATATAGTGACACACAAACTTGGTCACTTTATAAACTTTAACTGACAACGTATTCTGACAAACTGATATTTTGTCACATTAGGAGTACCAAATGTGATATTTACAATTTTTGTCATATTATAGTACCTATTATGACAAAAGTAAAATGACAAAAAAAAATTTGTCCTAATAGGCCGAATTTGTTGTAGTGCCCCTTCCCATTCTAGAGAGAGAAAGTGACACTCAAAGGAGGAAGAAGGAGATTGGGCTCAATTCAAGCTAGGGGATTGAAGATTTCTTATTCTCAGGGGAGATTCAAGCAACAAGGGAGGAAGATTTCCACCTCCCCATGGTTCTTTCACGCCTTTTTGTTGTTTTCTGATTCGGGCCTAATTGCACCCATTTTATCCCCGTTTCCCTTGGCCGTTTGTAACATTTGAACTCCTAAAAGGGTGGTTTTACGCTAGATTTTGTGCGTTTTAGTGTGTTTCAGGATCCAATAGGTGAAACCAGCCCCAAAGTCGAAAGCTAGATGAAAAGAGGCAAAGACCAGGCAAAAAGGGTGATTCAGGCAAGGTTCACGATTTCCCATTGGAGTTCACGGTCTCCTAAGGCCGTGAACTAAAGCCCAAAATCGTGAACCACGAGGCGTCCAGTGCGAATTCTGCAGTACTGGCGAGAGGCGAGTTCACTGTCAACAAGACCGTGAACTCATGCAAGTGAAGCGGTGCGTTTCGACACAACGCGTTGTGTTCACGGACACGTTGAAGAGTTCACGGCCGTGAACTGAGCCCAATGCTGGTATAAAATGTGAGCGGAAAGAAAGAGAGAAGAGAGATCCCCAAGAGTGAGAAAGTGTCTTCTTCGGATTTTAGGGAGAGAAAGGACGAACCAAGGAAGAAGGAAGGCTAGGGTTTGCTCCATGTGGTGAATTGGGAAAAATCTCCCCAAGAGAAGATCAACAAAAGCTTAGAAGAGATTGGAGGCATCACCATGATGGTTTCTACCTCTTTCTCTTGTGTTCTTCCCCTTTCTAGCATGGAGTAGTACTCTTTTCACTTGGGTGTTGTGAAACCCTAACTATTTGCCATGTAGTTGTAGTGTGACTTGAATGATTATTTATGGGTGTTGTCTAATTTAATGATTGAGGTATTTTTCATGATGATTGTGCATGTGTGTGCTTAGCAATCGAATTGGCCATTCTAACCTAGGTTAGAGGGGAAACCCCCCCACCCTTCCAAAAGAGGCTCAATTGAGTTGGGATTCCTTGGGCTTGACAAGCCACCTATCTAGGTTAATGTAGGGCAAACCTCTATCTTGAATTAATCAACTAGGTTAATCATGATTAAACCGTCCAACCATCGGTTTGAGGGAGAAGGTAAGTCAACCCTTAATTGCCTTAACCAAGAGGGCTACTCTTGTAGTCTATAATGTATCCCTTGGTTTGGTAATTGAGAGTGTGGTCTTTGACCATAGTTGCACCTCATAGGGGTTCATGATTGTGTTGCCCATAACGTCCCATTTAAGTCCACGTGCCATGGTAGTAGTTAGGGGAACAATATAAATTAGAAAAATAATTTTAATTTGAATTTTTTGATAATTTTTAGGCTGGCGAGGCAATGACATGGCGTGTTGACTAATAGTCAATGGTGTTGACCGTCCAAATTCACGGTCAAACCATGTGTCGGGCCAATAGAGTTTATATGCTGCATAGTTGAGACCAAGATGTTAATTTCTGAAACCAAGGGCCAAAGTTGATTATATAGTCATAGTTCGGACCAAAAGAAGGTATTAAAAAAACTATGAACCGATACAAATTTCAATCATTTTCTATTCACGTGGGATCCATGCACGTCAGTGACGTCACCATTCAATATGCAAAAGTCCCATCGCTGAAGCCAATTTAGAATAATTAGTAATATTAAGTTGACATTATAAAACACCCCATTCAATTTAGTTTATGTAATTAATTTGTTAGCGTAAAGAGACGAAAACCAAAAACAAATCTATAAATTATAAATTTCAATAGATAACACATAACAGATTGGAGACATTCTAAGCTTTTGACCTTACCACTCTAATTGCATCCTTTCCTAGTCAATTAATAGGGTTTTCCCCCCTAGTCTAAGAAATCGTTAATATGCTTAGCAGTTAGCTAACACCATAGCACTTTTTCTCGTTTGTTTGTTATACTTGGGCGTCGGGCTCTTGTTGGGCCGATACATATAAGCCCGTTCGAAGAAGAAAAAAGTAGAGAGCAGAGAACGAAAGAATATTGATGGACCATCCACGCCACGCAACGCAACGCAGTTCTCTTCTCGTGTGTGTCGCCTTGTGTGTTGTTCGGACGAAAAGAAATGGCAACACGTGGCAACATGTGTGTCGGAGAATATTAACAAGCGTCCACGTCAACATCATTGACGTGGCCCTACAAATCCCAAATAAAATCCTCTCGCCCATTCAATCACCCGTCCATCCCCCTTTTCTCTCTTTTTCAGTACCACTTGACAATGACCATGACCACTCTTTCTATGAGGCCATCTAGTTTAATATTTACAAATATATTCAATCGGGTTGTACATACCACTACCAGCACAAAATTATTTTATCAAAGTCTAAATCAGAGTTTAAGTGATGAACCATGACTAAATATCGCTATCAGTACAAAGTACACTATATCTGACTTTTTCGGTGTATTCTCTTGTATGATATTACCGTCTTTGGTTCTAACACAACGTTTGTTCAAACATACTTCTAATTAAGTTGTGGGGGATTATAAGCGAGTATTGGACCGAGATAAATGAGGAAACATTTTCAACATTGTCTCTATATTTGTCATTAATGCTTGACTCTTGCATATATATCTTCAAATCGTTCATATTTAGTTAGTTAACTTTGTCGTGGCTATCATATAGTGAATTGTAGACAACAAAGTGTTTATAAATGAATCTTTGACAACGAATTGTCGATGATAACGTCACGGTTATCAATGCCTCCCGATGTGTTAACCACGTAAAAAACCAACTTCAATAGACTCAACTTGAACTATCCCGTCCACAATTAATTATCCGGCTGAATTTTCGTAATTTATCAATGTAGTAAACTATGATTTACATGGTGATTAGTCCAAGAAGTTGTATTATCATCCGTTAAAGCGTAAAATATTGGTGAAGCATACAAATCCGGTCCATCAATGCTATAACTTATTTTAGTTTCTCAATAATAATGGTAATTTCGGATACATATTTAAAATGGTGCAAAAATCAATAAAAAAAATGATGCAATAATTAGGATCTTCCAACTTGTTTCATGTGCTCAAAAAATTTATCAAAAAGAAAACCACCTTCCTTGTGCCCTCCCTCCATAGAGCTGTCATCAATGATACCAATCACGTCACGGAATTTTCACAAAATTGGAATAAAAATATAACAGGTTTATAAATAAATAAATAAAATAAATAAATCTCAGCAAAGCCCTAAGTAACATAACCAGTGTTATTAAGACCGAACCGCTAAAGCCGCCACCCCTCCGCAAAATCGGGCTGGGCCAGTCATTTAGCCGCTACGGTTTTATGGAGCGGCCAAGGCGATTAACCATTCCAGCCGCTCGAACCGTTCGCTAGGTTTTCCCCTTCTGGCCGTTCTGTTTAATAATTAAATTTTGAAAAGGAAATTGAAAACAAAAGGAAAAATCGTAGGGCCGGGAAAGAAACCCTAACTCTAATTCAGTTTTTGTCTTCGACTCTTCGTGAACACAGGGAGAAGAGCAGCGCCTGCCCTGCCGCCGTCAACACTTCCCGCCTTGGCTTCCCGTCGGCATCGTCGCCATCCCTAGCTAGCGTAGCAGCTCGCCATCGCCAGACTCCATCCCCGTCCCCTATTTCCGTAGCAACTCCTCCGCTCTGTCGTCACTTCCCGTCGCCATCCCCAATCCTTGTAGCCGCTCCAGCTCCCCGCTAGCATGTTTTGGATTTGTTAAGAGTTAAGATTCTAATTTACTAATTTAGTAATGGTTTACCATGATTAAGAAGTGTCTACTATTTATACTGATTTTTTATTAGGTACCGGTTTTCTAACGGTTTTTAAACGGTTTAGTGCCGGTTGGACCACTAAAGACCGAGCCATTCACATTATCGGGTCATACTCCGGTTCGCTTTTGACAACATTGAGCATAACTTATCTCTCCCATTTTTTATTATTATTATGCAATGTTAATCTAATGAAATATTGTTAGTAGTATAATAATGATTAGTAATATATACTATTTTGGGTGCTGAATGGCGAGGATATTATGATTATGACCATCATTGATGACATGAAAAGCAAGCAAAACTCAATGTATGTCATTAAATATTGATCCCATCATAATAATATTATTCAAACCAGCCCACTTGCACATGTGGAATGTAAACTCCCACCATTTCTTTATTTCATTTTTGATTCCGTGTTCGCAAGTTGGCTAGCGGCTAGCCATCAAGCAAGGGAGAAAAAAACCCATTTTATGATAGCAAAACACGTACACCAAATCCCTCCCTCAGCTTGACTAGGAATGGCAATAGGGGTGTGTATCCGCTTCGGTAATGATAAGATCCCGACGTCATGAAATTTTAAGTTCTTTTGATCAAAGTCAAACATACATAAAAATAAAAGGATACATGGGGATAGATTCATATATACACGCCACAATCAAGTGTGATCGCTTGATTGATAAGAGTCTTGGAAAGCTCTTCTCAAGATTCTTCAACAACAACAAAATAACTCAAACAAGCATCTTCCACTAGCTATGGAATCCACCAATAGTTAAAACAATAACCATAAGCACGATGGCTCCGTGAGGAAACCACACCTTGATGTAAAATTTTTATTCAACAAAAGTCTAACCCTAAAATTCGTGTCTTAAGCCCTTTATATAGCCCAAGACAAATAAAATAACAAAAACACGAAAAGAAACAAAACCTAAATACAAAAGAAAGTTCGTTCGTCAAACCCGAAACCCGGTCTAAATCTACGGTCGGGGATTTTATGCACCTGCGCCCCGGGGTGCTTCTGGACCAATTCCCTGGTCATCACTCTGGATCCCCGGTTGGGGAATTTACCAATGTTGGCCGGGGTCTTCAACTGGGAGAATCACATCCGTCCTCCCCGTTGAAGAAGTTTTTCCCTCAAAGCTTTCCAGACTGGCTTCCAAAAAAAGTTCTCTAGAATCCTCCAGTCGGGTTCAGTGTCTACTTGTCTCTTCTTCCTATACTTTCACTGACAAAAAAGGTCATCCACAGAAAGATAAAAATTGCGTCCCTAATCCTCTCCCAAAGAGCCTCGAATCCAGTCTGCATACTCGGCATTAGTAATTCGTTGTTTTGCAGAGTCAGACCTCAAAGCTTGTGGGATTTTGCAATAAAATTCATCATAAAAAGGATCACGATAAACCATCTGCTCCTTTTCCACCTTGACCACCTAGTAGAAACCTCCTTCTTCCTTCTCCGGCTCCGGTGTGGGAGAAACCACTATGTTGCCTTCAAGGAACTTGCCAGAAGTGGTAGCATCCTTTGACTCGTCCTCTAGCTCAATGTCGACTTCATAAGAACTCGAACTCTGTTGCACCGGAGAACTCGAACTCGATCTCTGTTCTGCCATGGTTTGAAATAGAGCTCCCATATGCACCATCTGTGTTGCAAGTCGTTTCATGGTTTCCTGCTTTGCTTCATACTTTCGCTATAATCGTTGCAAAATCTTCCAATCATCAGCTGCTTCCTCTGAGGATAAAGGCTTCAAAATGAAAACCTTCTTCTGATGCTACAATCGGTAGCTTTTGGACCTTCTGCTGACCAGATGAACTCCACGATCTTAGAATTAGGTTTGTCCCAACATGATTTCATTTGTAAGCTTGTACACCACATCGCACAATACCTCATCCTCATATTTGGCAATTGCAAATTTCACATAAATCTGCCCAACTACGAGGCTTGAAATCTTCTCGCCCGAAAACTGTAGAATGTATGGAGCTAGATGTAGACGTATTGGTAGCCCCAATTTTGTTGTTGGTCTTGAGCTAATCAAATTTGATTTGACCCCTCCATCTACAAGCATAGAATACACCTTCTCTTGCACCATACAACGAGTATAGTACATATTACAATGCTCTAACTCTTTCACCATCGTTTGAGCGGGAAGAAAGACTCTGTGAACTTCTTCTCCTTGCCACTGATTTTGAACCAAGAATCTTCGAATTGCCCCTGAGTTTGAATGGGGATCTGATACCACCTGATAAGACCCCGAGCTCGTGAAAGCTTAGGTTCGTTTGATCAAAGTCGTGCAACCACACTTAGTTTGGATATCTTGAATCAACCTTCAAACAAGCATAAAAAAATAAAGGGATACGTGGGGATAGATATTCTCCACAATCAAGTGTGATCGCTTGATTGATAAGAGTATTGTCAAACTCTTCTGGATTCTTCACCAAAAAAACTCAAACAAAGATATTGCACTAGCTATGAAATCTACCAACAGCTTAAACAATAAACCATAAACACGATGGCTCCATGGGGAAAAACACATCTCGGTGTAAAGTTCTTATTCAACAAAAGTCTAACCCTAAAATTCGTGTCTTAAGCCCTTTATATAGCTCAGGGCAAATAAAGTAACAAAAAACCCAAAAAGAAAAAAAACTAAACCTAAAAGGAAGTTCGCTGTAAGCCCCGAAACCCGGTCTAAATTCCCGGTTGGGGATTTTATGCACCTGCTCGAGGGTGATTCTGGACCAATTCACCGGTCGTCACTCTAGATCCCTAGTTGGGGAATTTACCAATGTCATTCGGGGTCTTCAGCTGGGATAATCACATAAGGTAAAAATGATTTGAACCAAACCAAAACGAATCTTAAACGAACCGAAACTGAAACAATGTTGCTCGATTCGAAATTCGGAAAGGAAATTTGTGTAATTTGGAAACCAAGGTCCTATCAATCAAACCAAGATTCTGAACTTAACCGAACAACCAAAAAAGAGAAAGATTAACCTGTCTCGCCCCTCCCTCGACCCTCACATGTCTGACCATCTCGCCTCACCTCCAGTCCCAACTTTCGGTCACCGTCGTTCATGCCCAAATCTAGATTCTCCCTGCTTTCGGCCTTGCTTCTCTCTAAGTCACCTAGTACTGGATCTTACACATGTTTACTACTTGTTCGCCGCCAACTAAAAACAATGGTGGGAAATCATATCTGGGTTGCTTTTGCTACTGAAGAAAAGGGAGGCAAGAAGTCAGATCACTGAAATAAGCTTGAATTTGGTATCGGGTTTTCCATTCGGAACCGAGTTATATTTCGATTCGGCCAAACCATATCGAAATATAATTCAGTTTGAAATCGGTTTCAATTTTGAGTGATTCTGAGGTACCGGTATGCACTAGTTTGGTTCGGTTTGAAGTAACCAAAGCGATGCCCGCCCCTAAATGGCAATGCGGAAGATTGGACTAGTTGTCAAGGTATTTATAATCATCTCGTGAGAAGTTAGGTTGAATAATTTATTATGGGATGTGGGTCAAAGTAGGCCGACCACTATGAATATGTAATTTAGGGGTCGTTTGGATGAGTTTTTTTTATTGTGTGGTATTTGTTAGGGGTGGAAGTTTGGGTTGCGGGTTGTGGATAATTCGCAAACTGCACCAACCTGCACCTATTGTGGGTAACCATACCCACAATTTGTGGGTAGTGGGTTGGGTGTGGGCAGTAAAATAACGATTTTTGTGGTTAGTGGTTATCCACTACCCACCGCGGTTAACCCACCAAATCCACAATAACCACACTAATTATATTTATTTAGTGAATTAACTTTATAATATAATAGTAAGTGAAAAGTGCGTGGATAAAAATTAAAGTAGCCACCAAATAAAAAAGACACACCTAATCAGTTTTATGTAAGATTGTTTTTGTTTATAAAACACTATAATCAATAGAGTGGAGAATAATCAATTCATTAAAAGTGAACACCTTTTGTAACTTTTATCAGTATGTTTTTGCTTTTGTGTGAAAAAAAAACAAGATCATATTTAATTGTCATATTTCACCCCTAGACAGGGAAATATGAAATCACAGCTCTCTAACACAAAAGTTGAATACCAAACTAAAAAAGAAACAATCTCCACGTTGAGTAAGATCGATGTACAAAATTGTATCTCCACGAACAACACAAGTGTATATCACTATAGTCTAGTTACGAACAACAAATACGTTAGTGGCGACTAGAACTCTATGTTTGCAATAATGGATTTTTGCGGGTAACCACACCCAACCCGCACAAACCCACAGTGGGTAGTGGATACCCACTAATCACTGCGGTGCGGGTTGTGGGTTGTATAATTATAAATTTGTCGGTGTGGGTACCCTCAAAATATGGGGCGGATAACCACACCCACCCCAATTTCCACCCTTAGTATTTGTAGGTTGAAATAACTCAAAAATTGGTTGTGTAGTATTTCTATGGTATTTGTAAAAATTGAGAAATGAAATGTCTTGTTTGGATGGACTGACTCGCTCTAACTATCACAATAAAACCTTAGATGGGTGCAATATAAGGCAAGTACGTTTAAATATCTACCCGGGCCGTCCCATGTACCGCTACTTTGATTGTTTGAAACATTATCTAGCGGATAGTTTTGGTGGAAACAAAGATCTAAAAACTAAAGTACTTTGCAAAGATGAAATGGTTTTGACACTAATTGAGAAGGCTTCACCTGGTTGTTGCTCCCCCTAGCTAGCAATTACGACTTGAAGGATCGAATGACCGTGTGTAGTTAGGAGATTATAAACTACAAGGAAGTCTAACAAGTAGCCAAAGCTACCCTCTTAGTCTCTAGGTCCAGGAAATAGGATACGATCCAAGCCACTAATGCGACTCTCTCAACCTATTGACTAAGGAATGGTTAGACTTCAGCCTCGAATTGGAGTTCGGACGGCCACCCACAACCAAACCCTAAGTGCTAATACAAAGTAGGAGGTTTGCCCTGCATTAACCTAACTAGGAGACAATGAATTGCCCAAGAAAACCCAGCATTCAAGCCTCTTTCAAAGAAAGGAAGAGGGTTTTCTCTCTACCTAGGTTAGAATGACAATTAGATTGATAGGCTTTCACACAACACAATCATTCATGAATAATACCTCCACATACACATTAAACACAAACACACACAAATCATTCAATTCATACAAGCATTCACATAATTGTAGCTAGGGTTTACCAACACCCAAGTGAAAGAAGGAACTACTCCATGCTAGGATAAGGGAAAACACAAGGGAGAAGAAAGAAAATCATCAAAAAAAAAAAAAAATTGCTAGCCTTGCTCCTTGTGTTGAAGAGATCCTCCTTTGAAGGAGGGATTCCAAAATCCTTGCTTGGATATGAAACCCTAGCTGCTCCTCTTCTTTGGTTCCTCACTTTCTCATTCTAAAAACTAAACAACAAGAAGAAGAAGTTTCTCACACTAGGTCTCTCTCTTTCTTCTTCCTTTCAGCTAGCTCTTTATATTGAGATCGTGCCCAGTTCACGACCGTGAACATCAAAATGCATCCGTGAACACAGTGTGCTGAACCAAAACGCATCGCTTCACTTCTTCGGTTCACGATTTGTGGGTGCAGTTCACTGTCTTAGCGATCGTGAACAGCCTTGGCGTCAGTAACCTCATAATCCCCTCTGGACGCTTCTTGGTTCACGCGTTGTGGTTTCAGTTCACGGTCCCTGCCAACGGTGCAAAAAACGTGACTCGGTCTGAATATCTCAATAAATCCCACCTAAGGTCCAATATAGGGCGAGTATGTTTAAATATCGACTCGGGCCGGTCCATTTACCGTTACTTCGATTGTTTGAAACATTATCTAGCAGATAGTTTTGGTGAAAACAAAGATCTAAAAATTAAAGTTATTTGCAAAGGTGATATTGTTTTGACACTAATTGAGAAGGCTTCACCTGGATGTTGCTCCCCCTAGCTAGCAATTACAACTTGAAGGATCGAATGACCGTGTGTGGTTAGGGGGTTATGAACCGCAGGGAAGTCTAACAAGTAGCCAAAACTACCCTCTTAGTCTCTAGGTCGAGGAAATGGGATACGATCTAAGCCACTAATGCGACTCTCTCAACCTATTAACTAAGGAAAGGTTAGACTTCACCCTCGAATTGGAGTTTGGACGGCCACCCACAAACAAACCCTAAGTGCTAATACAAAATAGGAGGTTTGCCCTGCATTAAGCTAACTAGGAGACAATGAATTCCCAAGAAAACCCAACATTCAAACCTTTTTCAAAGAAAGCAAGGGGGTTTTCTCTCTACCTAGGTTAGAATGGAAATTAGATTGATAGGCTTTTACACAACACAATCATTCATGAATAATACCTCCACATTCACATTAAACACAACCACACACAAATCATTCAACTCATACAAGCATTCACATAATTGTAGCTAGGGTTTACCAACACCCAAGTGAAAGAAGGGACTACTCCATGCTAGGAGAAGGGAAAACACAAGGGAGAAGAAAGAAAACCATCAAAAAGATGCTAGTCTTGCTCCTTGTGTTGAAGAGATCCTCCTTTGGGGGAGGAATTCTCAAATCCTTGCTTGGATATGAAACCCTAGCTTCTCCTCTTCTTTGGTTCGTCACTTTCTCACTCTAAAGATCTGAAGAAGAAGAAGAAGAAGAAGAAGAAGAAGAAGTTTCTCGCACTAGATCTCTCTCTTTCTTCATCCTTTCAGCTAGCTCTTTATACTGAGATCGTGCCCAGTTCACGACCGTGAACATCAAAACGCGTCCGTGAACACATTGTGTTGAACCAAAGCGCACCGCTTCACTTCTTGGGTTCACGGTTTGTGGTTGCAGTTCACGGTCTTAGCGAGCGTGAACAACCTTGGCGTCAGTAACCTCAGAATCCCCTCTGGACGCTTCTTGGTTCATGGGTTGTGGTTTTAGTTCACAGTCCTGGAGACCGTGAAATCCAATGGTAGACCGTGAACACAAGCTGATTCCTCCTCTTTGCCTAGTCTTTGCTCATTTTCTTCCAACTTTCGACTCCGGGATTGGTTTCACCTGTTAGGATCTGAAACACACTGAAACACAAGAAACCTAGCATAAAACCACACCTTTTGGAACTCAATTGCAACAAACGTTGAAGAGAAACGGGGATAAAAAGTGTACAATTAGGCTCGAATCATGGACCAAATACATCCCTCAAGTTCCTCCCTCAAACGACCCCTTACTGTCTCCACCAAATTCCTCCCTCTTGCTCGACCTCTTTCCTTTGTATTCCCAATCCAAGAGGGAAATTTTGGTTTTCAGCAACATATTACCGATATTAATCCCCAATTGATGAGGCAAGAAGTGAGGACAATTTGTTGCACCGATAAGTTCACTGCGCAGAATTCACTGGGGATGAGAAGACCCAATTGTAACATTTAGAATTCACTACCAGGCTTCTTCTGATCTCCACTTCTCCTTCTTCTTCGGTTCAATGTTAGCAAGGAAAGGAGGGATGAGAAAGTAGACGAAGCTTCAACGACGACAAGGAAACTTGTCATCGCCTCTATTTGCCGCCGAACTACTCAACCTCTGTTAACAAATCAAAATCATTTTGGCAGGAAAAAAAATGGTTGGAGGGGGAAAATTGAAGAGCTTCGTAGCAAGCTCTGTTTGCTCTTGAAAAAGAATTAGAAGAAGGGGAGGTCAGGGATTATAGTTAAAAAAGAAAGAGTCCAGAGGGCAGAGAAGAATACGAAGAGAGAGAAAAAAGAGGGCAGAATGGGGAGATGCCTAATTCGGAATGCGTTATTTCATAATAATAGGGGGAGGGGTATTGATAATAATGTGTTTTGCGTTATTTGAGAATAACTCAGGCCCCAAATAACTTATTCAAATTTTGAGAAACCAAATGTGTCATTTGGACACAAATAACTCATCCTAAACATTCGTCTAAAGGACCCCTTCATAGAAAACAATAGAAGTATTAATTTTTTAATTGAAAATCAATAAACAAAATAGAATACGATCAATTTAGTTAAGTTATTTGAGATTGAGGTTCTCATCTATTTACAACTTTATTATAGCTAAAATATGAGGTAATAAAAATAAACTCATGTGTAATTTAAGTAAAATTGTATATAATTTAGGCAAAAATATGTTAAGAATAGAACGGACCAGAGAGAATCCGGTCAAGGAGAGTTCACGTATCCTTCCCACTCCAACTTAAGGACAAATCAAACAAATAGAGTAAAACAGATCATATCAAAATTGTAATCCTGAACTATTTTTTCTGAATATCATACTTTGATGCATAGCTTTCTATACTTGATGATCAATCGTATTCATTCTTTTATTATGTTAATAATTTATTATTATTATTATTATATAACATTAAAAAAATTAATCTCTAATTTACGAAGGAAAATAAAACATTATTCACCGAAGGAGGCGGAGGAACTC